TCAACAAGGAATATCCCAATGCAGTTACATCCTTAGTTGTTGGGGTTTTGCAGGGTTTTTCGTTTGTTGGTTTGGGTTTTTTTGGGGAGGGTTTTGGTTTGGGTTTTTTTTTGGAGGGGGGTTGGTTTTTTGTTTTGATTTGGTTTGTTTTTTTTTTTAAAGAGGAGGGATGGTTGGAGAGGGAGAATGAGAAATTTCGGTTGGGATTTTTTAACTGGGGATGTTGATAGTTGCCACAAACCTCCTGAGATGCCAACATAAAGAACAGCATTGTGCCAGCACTGTTCAGTAGGCTTCACTCAAGTCCCATTTTCAAAGAGAACTTTATTGGGCCTACATTACCCAGGGTACGTCAGGAAGAAAATTAAACCAAGCCATTAAAATAGACTTAATCAGAACAAACCATGATGAGTGTCTTTGCACACAGCTTTCCATTTGGAAGTTTAATTTCTACCTCAAGTATGTGAAGGCTGGGAGCTTCCAATAGGGCTAATCATTGCATCTCAGGATCAATGTCTGATAAATAGATCACTAAGGCATCTCCATAACTGGAGTGATTTTTCACCAGAAGCACTCATGATGTGCCTGCTGATTTCTTGTCATGTTCTGCTCTGGAGAATATTTTATCTGACAAAGTGTACTTTTAAAATGGTAAAAGGTAGATTGCACCAGCTTAACCACTGAAATGTATTCTTCTCTATTTTTTTAAATAAGGCAGAAGCTGGTTTGAAAGAATAATTTACCTCTGTTGCAAAATGAAACCTGCAACAATCATCTGCTTCCCTTCTTTGGTACCTGAACCTTCTCCTCAACAACACTGGTCTGATATGATTATTCTGGTTCCCTGGAGCTGGCTGTTTCTTAGGGGAACCAGTGATAAATATTTGTTTGCCCTGTCATCTTCCTCAAACATAGATCTTTCATGGAACTTTCATGGAGCAGACGGAGAGCTCACAGCCTGCAGTAGCATTAGCACGTGTTAGTTTTGGCAGTGCTGGGCTCAAAGTCCAAGCAGGTGTTACATCATGTAACATATGAGTTGATTCTCTGTGACAGTCCTGTGGCTGCTTCTGTTAGCAGAAAAACCCAACACCACTATATCACCATGCAGTGGTCCTAAGGAAGAGCTTTCCTAGGGGAAAGGGTATCAGCTTTTCCTATGAGATGTATGGTAATACCTCTTTCTAACGTGATGCAACACTTTCATGCTGAATATAACAACTACTGATTTGTCCCTGAGCAAGTAAAATGAGGCTGAGCTGTGTGTAACTTACTATCCAAAGAGTTTTATATATATATATCACAAATTCTGGATCCCGAGATACATTTGGTGTCCTTGCAAATTAGTGTTTTACCTTTTTTGTCTTAAGATCCAAACATATTCTCATTAAACCTTAGTTAGATGTCTGTTTCTTTCAAAGGAGTGTTGTTTTTCTCTTCTAAGGAAAACTAACTCCTAACAGCAAAACTGATTTAAAATTTGATAATCACCTGCAGATGTCAAATCTCACCAGTGTTTTTGACAGATGAAAAAATGAGCATATCTATTCAAATAGCATCCATATTTCTCCTCTAGTCTGTTAGCATTATATTTGTATACCAGAAACCATACTTTGATTTCCAAGTGTAACCTTGTAGCAGTTTCACAGGAAAGCATTGCAAACAATTTATGAAATCACTGGGGTTTTTTATTGGCTGTGATTCCATTTTAAAAGAACATCATACCATTTACCCATATCATGCAGGAAAAAGTACCAGAAAAATAACAAATTGAAATCACACTCACAAAGTTTCTACTTTAAATCATCTTCTAGTGCTGCATGCATCTGAAAGAAAGCTGGGGAGCATTTTTGCTAGAAAATGCATTGCTAAGTTGAATTTTGCTGTGTGTGTGAGAGAAAGAGAGAAAACAGGCAATTTTTTAATGACAATACTGAAACATTTTACTAACTCAGTGCATGAAGAAACAGTTATCTTGATAACATATATTCAGAACAGATACAGACAACTTTCAGATACATAAGACTTTACGTTTAGATCACAACAACTAATTTCTAACAATGCTTATTCTAGCACAGTAAGCTTGGCAAAAAGATGTATTCAGCAGCATTGGAATGGTCTTTTTTGATGAAGGAGAGGGGCTGGGAGGGATCTAAGTCAATGTATGATACTAGAAACATAGACAGAGGAACTCCAAAGTGATTTAGCATATGATCTTACATTTTGTTTTATTCATTTTAAACACAAGAGTAGCATTCATAATTAATATTGCAGTCTGATTTCATATGGCTTTCTCTAAATACAAATGTGATTTTACAAGGTCAATGGCAAACTAAATCATTTACCCTCCAAATGTGAAGGCCCTTTGACTATTTTTTAACTAACCAGTAAGGTCTTGGAGCTGTGAGGGAAAATGACTGCAGTGTCTAGCCACCAACCTTTCTGTGTAAATAAAAACCTGTTATAAAATTAAAATACCTCATTTACCTGAGATTGAACAGACCAGTGATGCAAATAAAACAATGTCATGAAAAGACAAAGAGATATTCAGAATCCAAACAATGAACCATGCTTCTCTTTGGTCTTGTTTAAGTGCTTCATCACCTGCTTGAGTGCCGAGGGGAAAACTGTCTGAGACAATTCTTCTCACTTCCATACATGAGCCAAAGGTGTCTGTGTACCTTGTTGCCAGTTCTGAGTGGGAAGGGAAATAGATGGGCAGGAGAGAGGGGAGAGTGCCTGCTCTCGAGTCTCTTCAGCATGGCTTAGGCACTTCAGGGACAGTGGAATGACTTGAGGAGAGGTCCACAACTCATGCAGCGTGCCAAGAGTCATGTGAGGCAAAACCAAGCAAAACCTACCCAGCACCTATGATAGATCTTCTGTCATGTTTCTATTTGAAAGTAAAGGAAAATGGGAACTACCAGCTCACACCTGGCTGAACTTTCTGCTGCCCATGGAGGAAGGTTTGCTGCAGATGTTGAGGTACAGAAGTGATGACATGGTTGAGCTGGGAAGCTCCCATAATGAAAAAGACTCAGTAGACACTTTAATAAACCACCTTCCCTTTCCCTTCTGCTTTGTGAGTCTGGCATAAGGCCTACCAGACTCAGCAGAGAGTTCCTATGGACTTCTTAAGTGTTTCAATCCAGATGTTCATACAGCTTAGGAGCTCAGCTCACAAAAGGAGTATTTTTAATGTTCTGAGCCCAGGGATAGCAGTACCTGCTGAAGAAATTTGAGCACAGGCCACACAAGATCCTGACTTGTAGACCAGTCATTCAATGGCACAGCTGCTGAGGCAGTCAGACTAAACTGTACCAAACACTCCTCCTTTATCTCTCCTCTCCCTTTCTTCTTTAATTTCCCAACTGTCCACACATATGTGCACAAAGATGCACACCAAGCTGCCAGAGAGACTGTGAAAATAATCAGCGGTAGCATTCTGCAGGGAGGATGCCAGGCAGAAAATTCTGATACTGTGTCAGGAACAGTATTTGGTGGATGAGGAAGGGAGTCAAGGATGACGTCAGGAAAAGGTCAACCAGCAAGTGGTAGGGAAAAGCCAAAGTAAAATGGAGTAAGCTTATCCTCTTTGTTTGCAAGAGTTCTCCAGCACGAGGCCACGGGACAATATGAAGGGACACGTTTCTTTTAGCAGAGGCAGATTTCTGGTTCTACTTACGTATTGGAGGATGCAGGCCACGGAGATTAATGAGGGCACTGCAAAAGTATTGATATCTGTATGTCAGTTTGATCTAACTTAGGAGATTTAACTACCAATGAGGGACTGAAGCAAAGATCCAGACTCTGCCTTGCAGCTTTCAGGGGTGCTCTGTGGTAGAGCATCAAAAGGAGCTGCTGCCTTTGCGACAAAAGGAGGGTTTTCAATTCTTTGAGGTTTGCTTAAATAGGCTCAGATTACTAGTTGCTGAGTTTGCATGGGGTGAGTAGGGCACTCTCCCTCGAAAATGGTACATTGTTCAACACTGCTGTGCTATATCCAAGCACTTACTCACAGGGCGTTCTGGGTCATTAAAAGTCTTAAAAGGGAGACACTCATCTTGCTTTAAATGAAAGTTAGGGTAAAAAACCCCACTGACATTATCCAAACGAATAAAACCTGCTTTCTCTTTCCTCTGGATAGCCCTTGGCAGCCTGTACTTGAATGAGCATGTCCTGTTTGAAGATCCAGCCTGAAATAAGTTGCGTCTTTATCAGCTTGTTCTGACTTGTAGATCAGTCAAACTTCCTCAGAGTCCACCTTGGATTCAGCAGAAACTTACAGTCAAAATTATTTGGGAAGAAGCAAGGACTATAATACATGAATAAGAACTGGGTGAGGAGGGAATGCTGTATTTCTTCCCTTTCATAGTATTTTTCCCCTATTATGAGAGATGCTACTGGAAGGCACAGAGCTCACAAGCTCACTGCCTTAACCATGGTGCAGATTTGGTCTCCTAACCTGAAAAGATGATAAACATCTTCTAAAATTTCTTATTCAGGAAAATATTGAGATGTTTGCCCAAACTCAGTTCCAGTGAACAACCAGTGCAACTAAGAAGTTCCACTGAAGTAAAATGCTTAATTTAGGTACACAATGAAGTGTCTGAGATTGTTCTCCTTTCTGTGGCCAGCTGAAAGTGTGTATTGGCTTTCAAATCTCTTCCATATATTTAGGAAATCTTTCTTTTTTCCAGGACAGGGATAAGCAATGCTAGTTCCAACAGACAAACCCTGATTTCTTTTACAAGACCATAAGACTGAGATGGCAAGATCCTCTCAGAGCATCAACTACAGAGACATAGCCAAATGCAAAATTTCAAGATTAGCTCTTCAGATGACCAGCCAGACACCTAATCATGAGAATCTACGTTCAAAATAAGTCTGTCTGTGTACTGAATCTATGCATGTACTACCAAGTCCACATCTCCCATAGAATTTTATTTATCTTTTGTAGTTACTTCAAACCTACAGTGCTGTACTGAGAAGCCAGCCCTCTGTACCTGTATCTGCAAAAGGCAACAAAAAAATGGTGAGAAAGATACTTCCTCCCAACCTATTAGCATCGAGGGATACCACACTCTGCACTAATATTAATTAGCTCCTGCACAGTACTGGAGAAGCATCCTCACTTCATGCCTTTATAGCAGGCAGAGACCGAAACCTACATTTTGCCATTGGGGCAGAAAAATAAGTGACCTCCCCAAGGCAAGGCAGTAATTTAGCATGATACATATCAGGCATATCTCGAATTTCTGGATCTCCAGGGCCATAACTAACACTCGAGACACAACACACACCCACACACTGCAGGAAGAGGTGGGCATGACACAGCCACAACAATATGCTGGAAACCCAAATGCCCAGCCTGCAAACAGTGCTGGAAATGCGAGTGTTGAATACGGTATTGGGCAGAAAGAGGAGGGTTAAACAGAGCAGCAAACGTACTTGGTCATTGGCTTCAGAGGGGTTGGGAAGGTCCTCTACCAGAGCACCATGCACTCTCCTGTGGTCTCAGCTCTCTGTATAGCAACTGTCTCACCAATATGCTCTTTCAAGTTAAGTGTATGGCTAATTCCCAAAGCAACATGACTCTTGCTTAGATTCTGAGGCATTTAACTTCTACAGCATCTGAGGGCAGATGACTCACTTCTTCCACAGTTCTGCGTGATGTCAGCTGTGTAAGTCATGCATGATTTACTTTACAAATGATCTTTTATTTATGTCAGCAATGGAATTAAAACTGAAAAGCTCTGCTTCCATGGGATAACTGAGATATCCCTGCCAAGAGCAGATGCGGTCAACAAAAAATGGCTAGTGTGACCTAATCAACAAGAACATTGTAATAATGACTAATTATTATCAAAAATAATAATTAAAAAAAGATAATTAAAAAAAATTAAAGAGGCCACTGTTCATACTTAGTGAACACTCCTTCTTGCTCTGGATGGAAATGAGATTGTTCCTTTTCTATGCTTGATGTGCAGTTGCCTTATTTAACATACATAGTACTATGGCTTATAATAAAAGTTGTGTAGTCTGCAGCTTTTTAATCTTTACATCCATTCAGAGGCATCTACTGGATGTGAGACTATGTACAAAAAAGGAATGGATAAGTCTTGGGGTGGAGGAAAGGGAAAGAGGCTGTTAGAAAGGAATGGGAAGCGAAGGGACTCCTAGTGAGCAGTAGAGGGCAGAGGTGGGGAGGGCTGCGTGATGGATGGCAAGATTGTAAATCCCCATTGGGCAAAAGAGAAATCCTTTGCAGTACTGTTTATGCCCATCTAACAGTCTGCAGCTATTACTTCTTGAACATGTCCTGCAGGGGCCCTGGTAGGTATTTGATGACTGTGTCTAGAATGCTCTCTTCTTCCTCCTCCTCCTCATCCCCACAGCCAGGAGGGATTGCCTTCTTTGGGCGTGTCAGACTCCCTTCAGCATTAGCTTCCAGTGCAGCCTGGGCCTCTGCTTCCTTTTCTTCCTTCTTCTTTATCCCATACTGCAGGAGAGAGATAACACATTGTCAGTCACCGACTGAACAGGATGGCTGACAAAGCCAGCCACTGCACATGGTGCCTCATATTCTCCAGTATGAACATCACTGTTAATATTCTCATTTTGCTCTTTTACACAGACACCAAAACCCAACCTGTCCCTAAGAATAGCCCAGTGGATGGACAGCTTTCACAAGACAAGATAGTCAGCTGCTCAGATCACTCAGAAACAAGCACGTGAGAGAAACTGGGACTATGGAGCTGTGGGCCTAGTAAAGAGAATATAAGCTCTGTGTTAAAGTTTTAGGGTGACATTCTACTGGTGTTGGTCCTCCTCTCTTCAGTTAACAGTTTGATGCTCAAATCCAAAGTCCAACATGATTCTGAAATTCCATCTGCAGCATTTTATTGTAAAGGTTTATGGATGTGGCAAAACTTCAGGGAAAAAATAATTATCAACAAAACAAAGCAAACAAGACAGGACAGACAGGACTGCAGTAAAAATGACAGCTTCAGATATTTTCATGTGGAACATATGCTATACCACTTCATCCATGTTTTCTTTGTATAAGTGGGACAGAAAGAACTCTTTGTGAAAATAAACCTTCATTAGAAACTCAGCTGTCCCATACTGTTTGAAGAGAAACATCCTTAAGTCTGTGAGTAGAACAGATACCTGAAATTTGCTACTCCCACTGAGAATTAAAGGCACTCCACTAAGACATTACATGAGTAACCAGAATCTCATTTTATGATTTTACATTCAAAATGCTATATTTAATAGAGAAGTAAAGATATGCATCTGTGAATCAGGCTAGGGAGAGAAATGTTGTAATATCTCAGTTCCCACAGTGACTAGGACATCCTTTCCAATTGCTAGTTTGAAGGCATGTCCAAGGAAAACAATTTCTGCACAACCAAACCTCATCAGTCAACAGTCTTCATACATTTCAGCATTCCTCAGGTTATGCTGATATTTCCTTAAGTGTTTGCAATGTTTTGAATGTTATGGTGCTACAAAGTAAAAACAAAAAAAATCAGCTCAAACTGTCACATGCAAATCTACAGGAACAAGTATACCTGCAAGCTACCCTCTATTACAGAATCATAGAATGGTTTGAATTGAAAGGTGCTTTTAAAGGCCATTTTGTCCAACCACCCTGCACTAAGCAGGAATATCTTCAACTAGATTAGGTTGCTCAGAGACCTGTTTATTCAGACCAATTCAAATTTAACAGACTGTTTCTACTTGTTCTGATGATAAATGGAGGTTAAACTTTCTTGGTACTCTGATCGTGATGCAAAGTCAGGAAGTCTCCCATTTCTCAGTGCCCAGCTGTGTTGCAAAGAGGCCAGCTGCACATTTCGAGGATAATTCTGGTCCCCAGGCCCACAGCTCACAGGCTGGCAGCAACATTCTTCTGCTCAGTCTTTTTACCTTTTAACCAGCTGCCTTCATGGCTGCTTTCATCCGTTCCTGCCCTATCAGCTCCTCAGCCACCAGTGACATCAAAAGCACCTGCACAATTGCTTACAATCCTTTCATTTCAGCTACATTAGGGAGGAATTTGACCTTTGTGAGGAAGAGGAAAGGCATTCAAGTTTGCTGTAGCAGCTATCAGTTTCAAAATTATTGCTTTGTAAAAGCCATTCCTTTACTTATGCCCAAATTTTAATTAAAGTACCAAATAGAATTAAGATTGTTCTTAGTACATTGGAGCTATAAAGTAACTAACTTAAACCCATGCAAAGGTCAGCAAAACATTTTGCACGAATAAACACATCAAAAAGAAAATTAGATATTATTTGAAAAACATTAAAGAACTATGCTGGTACCATGTACTCAATATTTTCAACTATCATTGGTATGGTACTACTGAATAGACATGAAGTAGATGCTATTTTCACTATTTTTTCTTTTCATTTTTCCAATTAAAAATAGTCCAAATTGTTTACCAGTAAAGCAAAAAGTCCACTCCTGCTGTCAAGACTTTCTGATTTCAAAGGGCTGTTAGGTTTGACGAGAAACATTTCCTTCCAAGCATTTACGAGCAAAGGCAATATTTTTGCTTCCTTTCTCCATCATCATTAATATTTAGGATGACAGCCTACAAGGTTGAAACCAGTAACTTCAAAAACACTCTAAATCAATTCTCTCAAGCCAGAATGTTCATTAGGGCCATTTGTCTTATGATTTTTGCACCTACTGGTCAGACCAGATTTCATGAGAGAGATGTTAAATGATGTCTCCATTCGTATCTGGGACAAAGAAAGCATTTGATCAACTCGTAGTCACAGGGCTGCACACCACAGAGGAGATTAAGCATAGGACCCGCTACCATGCAGGGGGAATGGCATGCAATGCTAGACTGTGGTCAGTCTGTATGGCTGATTGATACTCACTCTCCCTCTCAAGCCACAGGCAGATGTCTCTAGGTGATCCCCAGTGTAATTTGTCTACAGACTGTACCTTCCTATGCCAGCTAGACAAGAACAGCAGTGGAGACAACAAAAACCATGGTAACACACGGGTTACTGTGCTTTCAAATTCTCCACCTCGAAACAAGCATCAGCTCAACGTGTGTTGATCCTCCAGCTCATGAACTTGTTGAACAAACATCCAGGCCACGGGAAACTGTGGAGCAAAAGCAGCCACTGAAGCGCTACTGTGTGCTAGGACAGAGGGAAGCTCAAAGACTACACGAAGAAATTAGCACTGTGCTTGTCAGCCTGTCCTGACATGTCTCCTTAGGAAGCCCTCACTGACTGCCATCAGAGAATTGCACAGTCCTAGACAGACCTTAAATTTTACAACTTACGGGCAGTCTTACAGGGTAGCTGCGGAATCTGGTAATACATTGACTGGAAAGAGCTTTCTCACTGTAAAAGGGCATTAAGGACTGGCAGATTCTACTGTTCCAGCTTACTGACACTAATGCCAAATACAGAAATTATTTTTAATTCGTTCCTACCTGTAGTAATGCTACAACATGTAGAAAAAAGACATTTTCCCTAGTATATATATAGCATTCAAATACAAATTTATTTTGGACACAGGTATTCTCCGTTTGGAGAAAGATGACATTACATCAAAAGCAATTTAAAGGACCAGTTATGAGAATTCATCTAAACCTGGCAGTATTTTTATTTTTGTAATAAAAAATGTAAGCTGTGACGTTTCATAAAATGGCATACTTTAGGCTTGAAATCGTTTCAGAGGAAATAAAATTAAACAAGGAAAATATTAATACGAGCAAAAATTTTAAAGTAGTGTCTTCACATGAAATCATTTAGGTGGAGTCAACAAAAAAAATTTTAAAAATATGACTAAAAACAATCTTTCCAGTGTTCTGACTTTCCTGGGGACAGGAAATATTGCATTCAAAAAAATTTGCTTCCAACAAACTTGAAGGATGGGAACAGTTTCATTTTTATCCAAGGTTCAAGCCCACAAAATTTGGTGTTGTATTTGTATCATGATGTTGTATTTGTACCATTGCCTTCTTGGCCTTCACTCATGTATTCATGTCTTCTACCATATGCAGAATCATGGACCTAACCCAGCAAGACACTGAAACATTTTCAGTATGTATAACACCTTGCTACTCCTAAAATCATTACTATGCTGCCACATGCAGATTGTTTTCACTGCGTACTATGTCACGAAAATACTGGCAGGAAAAGACCAGACTTACCATGCTGCCATCAACTTCCTCCCCATCTCTTTCCTTCACTATTCCTCCTGCTTTTCACAAGAAGCCAAGGTAGGTGCCTGAACTAGAAACATGCTGGAAATTTGATCAAACTCTAATGACATTAAGAGTGTCAAGGAGTAGAGGACTGTTGAGCCAAGGGAAGCTGCAGGTAAAATGTCAACCCACCATAAATATACTTACAATTTCCTATAACAAGCTAACCATTGCTACTAAAATGAGCACATTTATCCAGTAAATATCTAGGCCACTGAATGAATCAACACTAATAACACAGTTGAGACACTTGCAGAAGTAACTGCCTGTCTTTGGGTCAGGTATGGAACTGGCTGCAGGATGACAGCTGCAACCAAGGTGCAAGTGAGTGGTTTTCTTTGGATCAGATTTGAAACTGCCTCCTTTGAAGCACCTGGAGAAGCTAGTGAAATACAAAAGGGGGACGCAAAGATAACTCAAAGACTGTATGGTGTGATCAACAGAAGATTACTAGTGCAGAGGATCCTGGAGTCTGAGAACAAACTGCTGCCCAGATGAACGGACATTTCCACTGACAAGACGGGCAGGATGCCTCTCCTCTGACTTCCATACACTCTATGGGGATTCAAAAGACCAACAGAGTGCTGACCTTAGCAGGCTGGGTTAACCACAACACAACAACAATAACATTATGCTACTAATATTTACCATGATTGTATGCTCTAAGATTATTATATTTACTTGCTAAGATTATTATAGTAACTCACATAATTGTATCACTATTGCCATGGTTGAACTATGATCTTTTACAGTCTCTATAAACCACTAAATATCATTATGTATATACTTTATATAGTCCCAGCTTCTTTCTTTATTGAATATTTTCACTGTACACTTTTCTTTGCTCCTAGTTATCTGTACAAAAAAGGGAATGAGAACTGGTGCTTTTGGAACTACACACATGTCCTGCAGTACAGACTTGCAGCATCAGCTGTTGGGAATGTAAAGAAAATAAACAATGGCACATTTCAGTTCTTTGGGCAGGGAAAGGAACTATGATCCTTTGGCTAACTTGACATATTCACAACTCTAACACACAGCTCAGCTAACCTAGGGTGTGCATGTGAAGCCTATGGCACGGAGTGGGATGCACGCCTCGCTAAGGCAAAGCCATGAAGGCAGAGAGAGCTGGGATTTCGTAATGGTACAGCATGTCCTAGGTGGGTCTGTCTGGCCAGTATGTTTCATGGCTGTCAATAAAGAGTCCTCCATTATGGCTGCATCTTGGTGATTGAAATCTGGAGATAAGCATAGAG